GCAGGTGATCAACGGGTCGACCGAGTCGCGCTACAAAGGCAACCTCAACATCTCCTTCGCCTACGTTGAGGGCGAGTCCCTCCTGATGGCGCCCAGCACCGCGCCGCCGCCGCCTGCCCGCCCCAGGGCCTCCCCCCGGGACCCGTCTGCGAAATGCCCTGCAGGCGCTCAAAGACATGGCCGTCTCCTCGGGCTCGGCGTGCACCTCCGCCTCGCTCGAGCCCTCGTACGTCCTCCGCGCGCTCGGTGCCGACGGGAGGGAGCGGCTCAACCGGCCGCGCCGCCCCCCCCCTCGAGCCGTGCTTCTCCCGCGGCGGCCGTAGGTGTCGACGAGGAGATGGCGCACACCTCAATACGCTTCGGCATCGGCCGCTTCACCACCGAGGCCGAGGTCGACTACGCGGTCGAGAATTGCGTCAAGCACGTCGAGCGGTTGCGCGAGATGTCTCCGCTGTGGGAGATGGTGCAGGAGGGCATCGACCTCAAGTCGATTCAATGGTCGCAGCACTAGCGGCGCGCATACGCTAGCCCCCCCCCCACCCGCCCACAAAGGTTCTCCACCCCTCCACACGTGACTTTCCTCACACGTTCGCCAGATGCCCCATTGAAACACTCTCTGTTGTGCAGTTAGAGAGCGGAAGCGGAACGGCTGACATGCCGAGTCCTGAGAGAATCTCTGGCGCGACACACGTGAGGTGACAGGTGTGTGTTTCTCACCAGAGACTCGGACGAGCCATCTCGTTCTTTCATCCTCGTGCTTTTGGCTTGTACGCGGAGGTGTGCATAAACCAGACACCAGTGTATGTGTTATATCATAGGATATAACATACTGAGATACCAGGCTCTTCCCTGGCATAGCAGCTATCAAGAAACCGTCTGATTTATAGGAGGAGGAGCTCTGTATTCTGCTTTTTCGACACATCCCACAGAAAACATCCGGGCCATGGGAATATCGGTCCAGACACTCTGGGTTCTGGTTTTTCGAGGTGTGAACGATCTCCCCGTGGAGGGGTCATTCCGGCGGAATGACCCTTCATTAACTAATCGGATTCCGAATGGGTCGAACGGGAGTACTAAGACAGCAGCATGTTCTGGGTGGGAGGAACCCTTGGGGGGAACCGTTTTATCGCTCCAGGCATTATGGTTTCTGGTTTCTGGTTTCTGCTCCGAAAGCGAGGTTGGCGGCGCGCCGCGCTGCCACGCACTTTTGTGGCTCACGGGAGGGAGGCCTGCGATGCGGTCGAGTCCGCCAGGCTGCCGCGATCCCGAGCGGAAACGCCGTGGCAGCCAACATGGCTGCCTCGTGCATCGGACGCCGACCGGCGGGGCCGTTGCTTGTCATGCCCAAGCCCTGAAAGGCTGAGCTGTGAAAGGCAGGCAGGCGTTGTGCGAGTGTTTTGAGTACCTATCACCTATCAATACAGTGTTTGGATCTACTCTGTTGGAGACAGAAAGAAGCTCTATCACAACGTCGGCGGAGCGGCCAATGCGCGCGGCGATCTTGAGGGCACCACCAGGAGCTGGCAAGGCCTCATCGCACGCTACCACACGTGCCGATCCGTGCCGAGAATTACCCGCACCCGACGTTGACAACCTCAGCTTAACACTCATCACCAGTCGCGACCAATCGGAGCAGAAACCAGAAACCAGAAACCAGAATGCACATGCCGCTTTTTTGCTGTTCCCACTTGAAAAAAATCGGATGGGGGTTCACCTGTTCATTGGCCGGAATGAGCTCATTAGGACGAAGCGGGAGATATATTCACACCGCAGAAACCAGACCCACGGCAGATCCCACGGGAAATCGAGGCGGGC